AGTATTTGTTGGAGTTTTTCATCAGAGATATTGGCTTGTAACTTCATCAGAGATATTGGCCTGTGTGTGTGTGTTTCCTTTCCCTGTTTTAGTATGAGGTTAATATTAGTCTTGTGAATTAGAAAGCATTTCCTCCTCTTCAACTTTTTGAATTTGTGAAGCACAGGTATTAAATCTTCTTTGAATATTTGGTAGAATTCACCAGTGAAGCCATCTAGTCCTGGACTTTTGTTTTGTGGGAGGTTTTTGAATACTGATTCAATTTCCATACTAGTGATAGGTCTATTCAAGTTTTCTAATTCTTCTTGATTCAGTCTAGAAAGGTTGTATGCTTCTAAGAATTTTTCCATTTATTCTAGGTGTTCAATTCGGTAGCATATAGCCTTTTGTAACATTCTTATAAAATCCTTTGTACTTCTGTGGTATTCATGGTAACTTCTCCTCTTTTATTTTTAATTTTATTTAAACCTTCTCTCATTTTTCGTTAGTGAATCTAGCTACAGGTTTGCTAATTTTACCTTTTGAAAGAGCAGGCTGTTTCATTAATTTTTCCTATCACCTTTTTATTCTCTATTTCATTTATTGCCTGATTTTTATTTTTTCCTTTTTTTTCCTATTGATTTTGGGCTTCATTTGTTCTTCTTTTTCTGGTTCCTTAAGGTGTAATATTTGTTTGAGATTTGTTTCTTGAGGTAGGCCTGTGTCTTCTTATAATTGATTTATAGTTTCATAATATTGTAGTTACAGGATATGCTTGATATTTCCATCTATCAGAATTTATTGAGACTTGTTTTGCTTCCCAACATGTTCTAATCTTGAAAATGTTCCATGTGCACTTGAGGAGAATGTGTATTCTGTCATTTGGGGGTAGAAAGATCTATAAATAGCTTTATATCCATGTCTTCTAATATGCCATTTATGGATGTTTCCTTGTTGACTTTGTCTAGATGCTCTACCCATTATTGTTAGTGGGGTAATAAGGTCCTCTACTATTATTGTTCTATTAGTTTCTCTCTTTAGATCTTTTAATAATTATTTTATATATTTTGATGTTCCTAGAGTGGGTGAATATATATTAACTTTTATGTCTTCTTGATGAATCGTCCCTTTTATCATTATAAAATGTTTATCTTCATCTGTTACCTTTTTTTGTTGTTGTTTTGACATCTATGTTGTCTGATATAAGTATGGCTACACCCACTGTTCTTCGGATACCATCTGCTTGGACTATCATCTTCTACCCCTTTACTTTGAACCTATGTTTTTCTTTAGAGCTGAGATATGTCTCCTGAAGACAGCATATACTTGAGTCTTGTTTTTTAAATCCATCCAGCTACTGTTTGCCTTTTTATTGATCACTTTAGTCCATTTACATTTAGGGTAATTATTGATATGTGAGAACTTACTACAGTCATTTTCTTTTTTTTTCTGGTTGCTCTGTATCTCCATTTTTTCTTTCCCTTTTATTTCGGTCTGATAATTTAGTTTGTTGACTTTCTATACTGTTTTTATTTATTCCTCTTATTCTATTTCTCAGCTCTGGATTTTTTGTTTTGTTTTACCATGAGGTTTATATAAAATGTCTCATAAATAAAAGTTATTTTTCTTCTGATAGCATATCTTCACTCGCCTATACACATTCAGTCCTTTTCCTCCTCCCCTTTTGTTTTGTTGTTACAAATTATTATATTATTTTTTTTACCAAATTGCAGTAGCTATAGTTATTTTTAAATGTTTTTTCCTTTAACCTTTATGCTATAATTGTTCATTACCCTATTCTGAAATAGACTTGCATTTTTCCTGTTTCTATCTGTCTCCTTACTCAAAATTTTGTATACTTTTGTCTTTCTGGTTCAGGCAGATGAGCTCCTTTCAACATTTCTTGTAATGCAGATCTTGCAGTGGTAAATTCCCTCAGCTTTTCTTTGTCTGGAAAAGTCTTTATTTCTCCTTCCTATCTAAAGGATACTTTGCTGGATACATAATTCATGACTGGTGGTTTCACTCTTTAAATATTTTGAATGTATCATTCCACTCTATCCAGTCCTGTAGGGTTTCTACTGAGAAATCTGATGATAATCTGATGGGGTTTCCTTTGTAGGTGACTGTCTTTTTTTTTTTTTTCCTGGCTGTCTTTAGAATTCTTTATCATTAACTTTTGATTGTTTTTAATGTAAGGTTTTTTGAAGGTCTTTTTGCAGTGACAAAATTAGGTGGTCTGTTAGCTTTTTGAACTTGAATGACCAGCTTTTCCCCTAGGTTTGAGAAGTTCTCATCAATTATTTCTTTCCATGGGCTCTCTGTTCCCTTCTCACCTTCTTCTTAGATGCCCATTGTCTTTATGTTGTTCTTTCTAACAGAGTCAGATAGTTCTCATAGAGTTCTTTCATTAAAAATAAAATTAGTTCTCTCCTTCCATCTTAGTCATTTCTAGATTGCTATCTTCAAGCTCATTAATTCTCTCTTTCATCTGGTCTGCTTTCTAATGCATTCTTCATCTCATTTATTGTTCTTCAGCATCAGAATTTGTTTGGTTCTTTTTTATAGTTTCAATTTCTTTGGTGAAATATTCCTTTTGTTCATTAATTTTCTTCCTGAGTTCATTGAATTGCCTGAGTTTTCTTGTATCTCTGTGAGTTTCCTCATAATGGCTATCTTGAATGCTCTATCATTTAAATCAATCTTCCATGATTTTGAGTTTGGTTCTGGAGACTTGTCATTTTCCTTTTGCATTACCATGTTTCTTGATGTATAGTTCCTCTGCTGGCACATTTGAAGTACTAGGTTCTTGTGCAGTTACTGTTTTGATCTTAACAATTCAACAGTTTGATAATTACAGGTCTTTCTTTTGTTTTCCAGTAGATGATGCTATAGTGCAAATTTTTGTTTTATCTGTTACTTATGTCTCTGGGATCATGGTGGGAGGGGTGTCACTTTTGTTATGAAAATCGATTACTGGGTGATAGGGTGGTGTATTTCTCCACTATGTCTACATCACCTTGGCTTTGGGGCACCACCACTGTGGTGGGGGAATGTGGAGGACAGGGGAGAGCCGGGCTCACAAGTCCACAGCACTGCCTACTTACAAGTGGCCTCTGTGCTATTTGGTGCCTCTCCACTGTTGTTACTGGGTTTCCTTGCAATGGTGGAAGGAGGGAGTGGCTTCTTGGGTACTAATGTTGCTTCTGCCCCTCTTACTTTCTGCTGGGCCATAGTCTGTGGATTGCAGTGTGGGGGCCACACCGTGACTCCTCTAATACTACCACATTGGCTAGAGCGACAGCAGCTGCCAAACTGCATCTGTGGACATTGTCCCTGTCCTGCCCCATGTCCTACCTCCCCTACACATTGCAATACGCCCACCTTCAGGTGTATTGATGTGTGGATCCCTCAAATGTGTTTGTGTGTTGAGCCTTTGTTGGATTATAGATGTCCAACTTTTGTAAGTTTAAGGGGAGATACAAAGGAGTCTTCTTATTGATGTTTACATCACTCCTTGTGCATTTTTCTTTATTGTGGAGTATGATTATAAGAACTGCTTTAAAGCCTTCAGATTACAATTCTAACATTTAAGTCATCTCAGGATTGACCAGTATTGCCTTTCTTCACCAGAGAGTATATACATTATTATGATCTTTTGTATGTCAAACAACTAGATTGTATCATGGCCATTGTAAATATGTTGTATAACCCTGGCTCCTGTTGAAATTATCTGGAGAATGTTGATATTTGTGAGTCCTGTTATAATCGTCTGGAGAATGTTGTCTTGTTTTAGTGAGTAATCAACATGGTTAAATCAGACTACAGGCTCTCTCTTGATCCTGTGTGTGTGGTGCTTAAAATTCCAGTTCAGTTTTCAAAGCCTTTAATGCGTTGACTTGAGTCTGTCCCACTCATGGACCTGAGACTTGTGTGAATTCCTACACAGAATTAGGGGAAGATACTTCCTCTCTCTACTCTGGGATTCTCCACTCACTCCCTCTTTAGGCCCCAGGGGATCCTTTTCTTAATTAGAAATATGTTTTCTTTACCTCAAATTTTATTTAGCCAGCCACATCATGGCCACCACTGTACTACTCCACAACACAGTCTGCATTTTAGGCAAAAGTAAAGTGTTCAGCAGAGCAATCTCAGCAATTGTTTCTCTATTTTCTACAGTGTGATAAACTCATCCCTATGCAGATGCTTCTCCATATTGATACCCCAACACACTCATTGGCTTTTAATTTCAGCATCCTCAAATTGTTTTTTTTCTTATTTTTGTTGAGAGATTTAAACTGAAATTAGTGGGAGGGATAGGAAGTAGTTGGCTCATGGTGACACAGTGGAACTGGAACTCTGGAACACTTACTTTGACTCTGGAAAAGCTACTTATATCTCTGTGCATCTGGATCTCTATTTGTACAATGGTAGTAGCAACAGCCCTTATCTCATTTTTAACTTTTGGCATTGTGTTTTGAGAATAAAATGTGACTATGGGCATTAAGCAGTAGTAACAAACAGCAAGTGCTCAATAAACATTATTAATTATTACTATTCATATATATTCTACAAGAGTAAACATTTTGGATTAGAATTACTGCAATAAAAAAATTAAGAACTAAAAAGTTAGAAGGCTGGCAGGTTGGCTATCTAGATGCCGATGCTTGAAGGAAGGTTAAAAAAAAGGGGGGATATTTAGAAAAGCAAAATATTTTATGTTAACTTTTCAGCCATTGGAATTATACCCTCACCCTTTTTCAATTGATATATATGGCAGTACTCATAACAGAGTTGCAAGGTTAAGGCAGCTTGCAAGTATGCCTTTTTAAAACATCAAGTTAAACAAGAATAAAGACTATGTAATAAATAAGGAAATAATTAGTAATACAGAACACTACTTTCTAATGAAATAACCCAATTTTCCCTTCATGCCATTTTATTAAATTATGATAAAAAATGAAACTAGGATTCTTATTTATTTTCTAGTAATACTACTGCTCCATTTGATCCCTTGCTAGATGGCTGAAAAAGAACATGCAACCCACTGAAGATCTTCGGTCAGTAATCCAGAAGCTGTCTGTGTTTGGGCCAATTAGGTCAGTTGACCTTTGTGGACGGCAAAGTGCTATAGTGGTGTTTGAGAACATGACTTCAGCTTGTAATGCTGTGAGTGCTTTTCAAAGCAGGATCCCTGGCACGATGTTTCATTGTTCCTGGCAACAACGTTTCATGTCGAAAGACGTAAGACTCTGTTATCAAAAAACTCTGTAAATTCTTAAAGCTTGTTTTACATAATTTATTTCTCATCAGGGCTCTAGTAAAATATAATAATTATAAATGATATTTTATCATTGAAAAAAGACATAATGAAGCTTATTCAGTTAGTTAAAGTATTGAAAATCAGAGATTATAGCACAGCCCTTCCTTTGAAATGTTTAACTTTGTAACAGTGGTCATCACAGTTTTGCTCTTTTGGATAAGAAGTTCATGACTGCATTTATGCATTCGTCTGACAGCCACCTTTCCTGGAGGACACTAACTTCTTCAGCATTAACGGCGTGTAACTTTTCTTTCTCCATATTTCTAATGATCTGTTTTGAAATTCTCATGGCCTGAATAAACAAAACCAACAATAAGGTTAAGAGGTATTCTAATATGAGTGGGATTATTCTATAATTTTGATTCTTGTTTCTTCGTTGTTCATCTAATCTGATTATACCTTAAGATAAGTGTGTAATGTAAGCCAGTACTTCTCTAACTTTAATGGGCACACAAATCATCTTAGCAGGTGTTAGAGCTTGTGATCACACATTTCCAAAAAGCTCCAGATAAAAACTAAAGCTTCTGGTTCAAGGATCACATTTTGAACAGCAAAAATATAAGAGCAATCAGTCACTATCTAACACATATAAAAATGAAAGTGTTACATGGTAAGAATCTCCTAAAAGTTAACCTATCTTATCTGGTTTCTACCTAGACTTGAGAATGAAAGTGCTTGGCAAATGCTGTCTGTCATATCGCCTGCCATCCTCCTAAAAGTTATTCCTAGAAAGAACTGCCCTTATACCTTCATATCCTAGAAATGAAATGTCTATTTGTTAAGTTTTGTAAAAATCAGTATTGCTAACATTATGGTTATTTTTAATCTCAAATTTAGATGGGCTTAAAGCCAACCAAGATAAGTCTTATCTTTGTGATTGCTTTGTGATTCTCTTAAGGTAAATAAATTATTTCCATGGTTCCTATAAGTTAAAAAAAAAAAAAAAAATACTAACATTAGGGGGGAGCTTTGAATATGCTTTCAGCCTGGTCCAAACTTCTGTCTGAAAAGTACTGTCGGGAAAAACTTCAGTAACAAGTCCTTGAGCACATGCTTCTCCTGCTGTTAACTTCTTTCCAAAAATAAGCATCTCTTTTGCCTGAAATGTAAAAGCAAGACTAAGAAATTAATGAAACAAGGCTCAGTTAACTTTGGAATTAACTGCTTTCAGCAGACATAGGAAGAAACTGATAACCTCAATAGGCAATGGCTTGCAAATTGCGTGTTGAGACCACCTAGGCTTTTTAAAACGTTTGTGGAGCTTGCTACTTCTGTGTGTGTCTATGTTGGAGAGTCAAGAGCAAGGAACCTGGGATGGCAATGACCTGAAGCAGATTCTGATTTTATAACCCATGGAAGCTATGATTTTCTGTTTTACACACTATCAACAATTACTTTTTAAAAAGGGGAAAAAAATTGTGGTCATAGGAAATGCCAAACAATCTTGCAAAACCCTAAGTTTCAAAATTCCCTTCCCTGGAAAGTCTACCCTGTGATCTAGCTCTGATGGTTTTCTTTTACCTGCACAGGTACTCAAATTAGTTCTATTTGACCGAAGTAACGTGAAGACTAACTTTCAGCTTCTAACAAAATTGAAGTCATTAAATGGATATTTCTCTATATTTGCAATTTCTTTTCCAGAAAAGTAAAGACTACTTTATGGCCAAATGCTCTAAGCTTTAGGGTTGGTTCGGCCCAACTTTTCAAAGTTGTTATATAGATATAACAATGCAGGATATGTGACAGAATAAAAAGATTTAAAAATATATATATTTATAACAAAAACCTAACAGCAATGAAAACAGGATCAATTCCCACTCCCCGCTTTCAGATCCTGAAGAATGTTTGCTAACCCTTTCCTTATCCCCTGGCTCTCTAGTCTTGTCATAATCCGCTTGGAGTCACGCACACACAGTGTGGGCAATTATGTTTCCATACACACAGTGATAGATCTGAGCAGTCACTTAGCCACTCTAGGAGCCTTAATACCCTGGTAAAATCGGCTGATGAAAAGACTCTTGTGACTAGGAGTGTTAAACCGCCATGAAGCCTCACATCTGATGGTACTTCACATGATTCTGAAAGTAAATATGTCATTGCACTTTCAGTGGATAATGCTTATCCATGAAGAAATTAAGTGGAGGAATGAGCTCAGGAGAGCAAAGGAGGCAGGCACAGCCCTAGTCCTTCACCTGACTAATGCCACCCAATGTGGAAAATGAAGCCTTGTGCCACCTTCAATTCAGCAAGCACTGGGCAGTCAGCTGAAAGAGCAGTTTCTAGTTGTGGGAGCTGTAGAAAGAGTTTCTTATTTTCCCCCATACCAGACATTTCCCTTGGCCTGGTTCCTGTATATTTAAAATTCTTAAAAGTTGGGAAGCAGAACATTTGCTTCTCTTTTGTCCGTATTATCGAGAGAAAGAAAAGAGGGTATGGAATTGCTTTTGGAATAGAGATGACTTATTAAAATTTATTTTTAAGGTTTTCAAAGGTTACCTTGGCTGGGCCCATCATCTTCGGAAAAATGTAAGAGGAGCATCCTTCTGGACTTTGGCCTAGTTGACTAAAAGGAGTATGAAATGTTGCCTATTTGAAAGAAAAAAAATAAAAATATTTTTTTGATGTGATTAAAAAAAATAATTTGTCTATAACCTCACAATACTCAGTTGAGAAAGTTTTTTTAAAAAAAATTGGGATGATTGCAGTATTACACATGCACAAAATTTACTCTTTTAATGTATGCAGTTTAATGAGTTTTAATAAATGTATACAGTTATCTAGCCACCACCACAATCAAAATATGGAATATTTCCATCACTAGCAAAAGTTCCCTTGTGTCTCTCCACAGTAATCCATTCCTCTTACCCGCAAGCAACCTCTGATCTGTTTTCCATCACTACAGTTCTGATTTTTCTAGAAAGTTATATAATGGAATCATACACTGTGTAGCCTTTTGTCCTTTTGTAGGCTTTTGTCTGTAGCATAAGGCTTTTTTTTCAGTCATGTAGATTTATTCTTTTTTAAAAAATTTTTTTATTTTATTAGTTTCAAGTATACACTACATTGGTTAGATATTTCCATAGTTGATAAAATGATCCCCCTACTTGCTCCTTCTCTCCTCTGGTTTTCCACCTAGTTAATATATTTATGCTAACTGCATTCCCTATGCTGTGCTCCCCATCCCCGTGACTATCTATCAACTACTAATTTTTACTTCTTTAAACCTTCATCCCAGTCCCCCAATACCTCCTTCCCTCTGTCCATCACCAAAGTGTCCTCTATATTTGAGTCTCTTTTTGATTAGTTTGTTTTTTTTGCTCCTTAGATTCCGCATTTAAGTGAAATCATATGGTATTTATCTTTCTCTGTCTTATTTCACTCAGCATAATAACGTCTAGGTCCATTCATGTTATTGCAAACGGTAGGATTTCATTTTTTAGTGGCTGAGTAATATTCCATATGTACTATAAATTCTTTATCTAATCGTCTGTTGATGGACATTTAGGTTGCTTCCATATCTTAGCTATTGTAAATTGTGCTGCCATAAATATTGGAGTGCATAGGTCTTTACAAATGATTGTTTTGGTTTTCTTTGGATAAATACCCAGAAGTGCAATTGCTGGGTCAAATGTATATCCATTTTTAATTTTTTGAGAAACCACTAAACTGTTTTCCATAACGGCTTTACCACCAACAATGTATGAGGGTTCCCTTTTCTCTGCATTCTTGCCAACACTTGCTGTTTTTTCATTTATTGATAATAGCCATTCTGACAGGTATGAGGTGATTTCTCATTGTGGTTTTAATTTGCATTTCTCTGATGGTTAGCAACTTTGAGCATCTTTTCATATGTCTATTAGTCATCTGTACTTCCTCTTTGGAAAAGTATCTGTTCAGGTATTCTGCCCATTTTTTAATTGAATACATTTATTTTAATATTCAATTGCAGTTTTGGTAACTAAAGTTGCACATTTAGAAATGTGTCAGTCCAGAAGCTCATTCATTCTACCAGTATTCAAGCTATTTGTATCTAGTTTTGTCTGGGACAACCCATATTAATGCCTGGTATACTGATATGGTTATTGTCCCAGTTTGGATATAAATGATATTGGTCAATTTAGTCCTTAGTCAATCAACATCTGGCCTTTACTCTCTAATTGTCACAGGTGAGGGAATTAATTCTCAAATATAAGATGTGCTCTAAAGGGCTATATATGTCTTTGGAATCTTCAATAGCCCCTGTACTTAGGCACTGGGAGGGTTTGGGGAAATTAAATCATTAGCCATAGATTATTTTTTGACTCTGGGAATTTAGGGAATGACCTACAGGCTCTTTGCTGTGTGATGATATTACTGTATATGTTTGTAATACTGCCTATTTGTCTATGAGTACAGAAGTTAAAAACAAGAAATATTCTGCGTCTGCACTAGAGACATTCTTTATAGGATCT